ACTTAGGAGGCAGAGGCAGGTGGATCTCTTAGTTCAAGGACAGTCTGGTCTACAAATCGAGTTCCAGGACAGCCAGGGCTACACAGAGAAACTTTGTCTCAAAAAATTTAAACCTCCAGGACCAAATCTAATCCCTGTTCTTCAGCAGTCAAGATGCTTCCCTCTTTTCTGCTCTCTCCTCTACTTTTCCCTTCTATATCATGGGATCTCTCTACTATTTAGGCCAGGATGCCCTCAAATTGGTTAGGTAGCTCAAGCTAGCCTTGAGTTCACGGTCTTCCTGACACCCTCCCAGAGTGCTGGGATCACAGGCAGGTGTCACCATACTGTATTCCTGATGTGGCCTTCCTCACCACACACACACAGTGCTCCACATGCCAGTGCCAGCCCCACCTCATCAGTGTGTGCAGGGAATAAAATACCCTGATGAGGTGCACACTCAGTGTAGATCTTAAGACAGGGCGAACACCCAAATAGTAGGAGGGTTTACCTATACTCTACAGAGGTGAAGGAATCTTGGCATGCTTCATGGAAGAGGTGTTACTGGGGTAAGCCCTTGAATGGTGGAGGATTTGACTACTTGGGATTGGGGGAAGCAGAAGACTAGAGGGACTAGAGGCACTGGGGTCAGGACTTGTCATGCAGCACAGCGTGCCTGCCCAGAGCTTGTGGGAGAGAATGCTGAGGGCTTAACAGGAAATGCAAAGCTGACCTGAACTGAGGCTTTTTCCACGGACAGTGTGAAGCCTACGAGATGGGACCATCTCAGCCTCAGTTTCTCACTTACCTTGTGTGTGTGGAGCATGTGCATGCACATTAGTCCGCAGGTATGTGTACACGTGGCAGCCAGAGAAGGACTTGTGGTGTCAAGTTCAATGGTTCTCCTGTTTGTTTTTGTTTGTTTCAAGACAGTATTTATCTGTATAATAGTCCCAGAAGTCCTGTAACTTGTTCTGTAGACCATGCTGGCCTCGAACTCACAGAGATCCAACTGCCTCTGCCTCCCGAGTGCTGGGATTAAAGTCTCTCAAGGACCAGAGCTTACTGTTCTGTCTACACTGGCTGGTATGTGGGCTTAGGATCTGCTTCTTCACCTCCTCTCCCAGTGCCGGGCATACTCAGCCAAGTCCAGCTTTTCGCTTTTGTTTTATTTTTTGAGACAGGGTTTCCCTGTCCCCGACTCACTTTGTAGACCAGGCTGGCCTCAAACTCACAGAGATCCCCCTGCCTCTGCTTCCTGAGTGCTGGGATTAAAGGCATGCACCACTATGCCTGACCAGTATTTTAATTTAAAAAAAAATATTATTTTGTTTGTGTATCTGTGCAGGACATGCATGCATCACCCTCAGGGCCAGAAGAGGGCATCAGATCCCCTGAAACTGTTACAGAAGGTTGTGGGCCACCATGTGGGTGCAAGGAATCAAGCCTGGGTCCTCAGGGGGAGCAGTCAGTGCTCTTCTCCACAGAGCCATCTTCCCAGTCTCAGAAGTCAAGAACTCTTGCTGCTCTCCCAGGGGACCTGAGTTCAGTTCCCAGCACCCACCCTGTGGAGCTCACAGCCACCTCTAACTCCAGCTGCACATGGTGCCCTCTTCCGGTCTCCCCAGGAACTCACACATATGTGCATGCTTTCACACAGATACAGACTTAAAAACGAACCTTGTACTCAGGCATTCCAACATGAATGACTGCTGTGGACCAGGCAAAGTTATGGACTGAGCTATCTCTTTAGCCTTTTTTTTTTTTTTCCCAAGACAGGGTTTCTCTGTGTAGCCTTGGCTTTCCTGGACTCACTCTATAGACCAGGCTGGCCTCAAACTCACAGAGTTCTGCCTGCCTCTGCCTCCTGAGTTCTGGGATTGCAGGCGTGTGTCACAGCGCCTGGCTTCTCCAGCTTTTTAGAAGTTATTGTTACCATTCTTGAAACAGGGCCTCACTACAGAGCTCAGGCTAGATAGACTTTAATCTTCCTGTCTCCGTCTCCTGAGTGCTGGGATGATGGCCCACACTGCCACACCATGCTCTCCTCACCTCCATTCTGACCTCACTAACAGCCAGAGGGGCTTTCAGAAGCGGTTTCCAGTCATTCCATGCCCTGCCCTTCTTCTCCAGCTCCAGCTGCTTCTTCAACTTTTTTTTTTTTTTCCCTTGTGGGAGTTACTGGAAGACAGCAGTGACTAAGACAAGACACCCTTCCCTTCCTGTAGCCTCTTACCCCAGCCTGCCTTCTCTCGTCACACTGGCCTTCATCTTGTACCTTCTGCTCTCCTCGTGCTATGTAGCGTGTGTACATCTGCCGTAAGGGCCGTTTGCACACGGCACTCTTCTTCAGAGAAGGAATCTATGCAGTTCCTACCCATCTTTACCACGGCAGCCCTTCCTCCGAGAAGTCTTGCTTCTCCTCCTTTATAAGCTCTGGTATGTCTGTGTATCTCCTCTTGAACACTCTTTGTGCTTGCAAGTTCACTTCTATGTGTGCGTGATGGAATCGACGGCCCTCGGGTTGTAAGACCACAAGCACACACACTGAGACTCTTTTCCGCCGCTGGGGCCCTGGCATGGTGCCTGGTGTCAGTATCAGTAGAGTGGAATGGCAGTGTTAGGAACGAAATGGAAGAGAATCATATCAAGAGGGTCTTTAGGAGGCTATTGCCACAGCTCAGGTTAAAAGGGGGGGACTAGGGCAGGTACAAGGATGTTAGAGAGCAGAGCAGCAATGGGGTTGACTAGGACAGGAATCACACAAGCACAGTGGCTCTGAGGATGTGGCTCAGTGGTAGGGCACTTGCTTAGAGTGCACAAGGCCCTGGGTTCAATCCCCAGCTTTTAAAATGGTGGACTGCAGCTTTTGTCAGTCAGTGGGTGTGGGCGAGTGAGAGGCACTGAAGAAAGTAAGGGGCAGGTGGACCCCACCCTGTCCTGGCATTTGCTAGGATGGAATGCCGTTAGGGGATGACAGGGCACCAGTGCAGGGTGAGGCACCTGCGTCAGGAGCAGGAAGAAGAAGGGGCGTCGGATCTCTGACTCTTAGCTCTTTTGTTAAGTCAGGGAAGTGGGGCAGCAGCTGCCACCCTGCTAGGATGACTCAGGCCGGGTGAGATCTCCAGGCCCCATCCTGAGCAAGCTGCCTGGTAAAAGTAAGAGCTCAGTTAGCTGCTGTCATTGTCACCACCACCATCATCATCACCCATCACCACCACCGCCTCCACCACCACCACCATCATCATCACCACCACCCACCACCCACCACCACCCACCACCGCCTCCACCACCACCATCGTCACCCATCACCACCACCACCATCGTCACCCATCACCACCACCGCCTCCACCACGACCATCGTCCTCACTCCACCCTCAGGTACTTGACCACATGCCCCTGCAGCACATGCCCCAAGCCTCTGTGAGTCAGAAGATAGGACACCTGGCTAGGCCTGGCAGGCTGAGGCAGGAGGATTGAGAGTTCAACAACTGAACAACTGTGCCTGCGTAGCAGAATGAATTTAAGATCAGAGCAGGTAATTTATAAAGACCCTGTAGGAAGGCGTATGTGCACACACACCACATTTTTAAGGGCTGAAGATATTGCTCAGTAGTGAAGTGTTTGCTGAGCGTAGTCAAAGCCCTGGGTTTTATCCTTAGCACTACAAAACTAAGAAACAAATTCATCTTGTGCCCCAACTTGCTGGATCAATAGAAGGAAAAGTACAAAGGGGCTAGAAGTCAGAGGCCATGAGTCTGGTCTCAGCTCCGATGGCCTGGGACTTGGGCCAGCGTCCTGTTTGCCTGAATCTTGTGTTTTCAAGTATAAAGTACTGAGAAGAGGCCTTAGATTGTCTGTGGCCCTGAAAGCAGTCACACCCTGGTCAGCCCTTTGTGCCTGGGTGGCAAGTGCGTGAAGCCCAGGAGAAGCACGGATTCTGCAGACAAGGAGCCAGCCCTGGGGGGCACACAGTCTTGCACCATACTAGGAGAGTCCCAGGGTCACCCTTGCGAATGTTCAGCTGTATCTCCTACCAAGGCTGCCAGGATTTACCCAGGGGCCTCTGTGTCCTTACAGTCTCCATTGTCCTGCACTCCACCCACATCCACCTGATTTCGCCAGATTCCCTGGGTCCCAGAAGTGAGCCACAGCTTGGAGCTGTTCCACCCCAGCCTGGCTGTCTTGGTGGGATCACAAAGGTGGGCTGTGTTGAACAAGGTCATGGTCATGGAAGAATCTAGAAGGACGCCAGTGCCTTTGTTTGGTTATGTGGCAAGAAGGAGGTCACAGAAGATGGGTATCAGGCATGTTATGAGCAGAGAAAACCAGAGGACAGCCTCCAGTTCCTGTGTGCCTGTGGGGTTAGGCTTGGGAGGGTCTGCAGGGTCTCTGGCCTGTGTGGACCTGACAACCCTCTCAGGTCCTGGATCTTCACTCTATCACCTGCCCTATAGTAGGATGCCATTACGTTGTGGGTAGTTCTCCCCTCCCCCATCTTTTAGCTCCTGGAATAAAGACCCATGAGACTCATTAAATATACAAATACCTAGGCCATATAGCAAGGCTTTTCTCAGACTAGCTCATCACTTAAAAGAACCCATTATTCTAATTTACATTTTGCCATGTGGCTGGTTACCTGAGCTCAGGCACCATGGATCCATCTTTCTCACATCTTGCAGACTGAATCTTGTGCTTCTGGCTCTATCCCAGAATCCCACCTATTTCTTGCCTCAGCGATAGACCGTAGGTTTTTTAATTGACAAGTGTTGCACCCATACAATACTCAAGAGATCAAGGGAGTCCTTACACACTGCCCTATCACTACCCAGAGAGGAAGCACCTGATATGGTTTGGTCCGTTTGGAGAAGGGTCTGTAGGAAGCCCAGGTCATGTGTCCTGGAGAAGCCTGCTGGACTGTGGATGGCAGGGAGGATGGAGAATATGTGGGAGTTCACGGCTTCCATGCCCACATGACTGACAGACAAGCTTCCTGAGGTTTCTCTGTCCTCTCTCTGCAGTCTCGAAGTAGTGTGCAGCAGGGGGACCTGGATGGGGCAAGGAGGCTGGGCCGCCTGGCACGGCTGCTCAGCATCACCTTCATCATCTTGGGCATCGTTATCATCATTGTGGCTGTCACTGTCAACTTCACAGGTGAGCATAGGGGCATGGGGCACCGGGAGGGGGCCCTGTGGGCAAGGGCAGAGGTGAGGGTGTGGCCATGTCCTTTCACTTCAGTCAGCACCATTTAGGTATGTTTTTTTGTTTTGTTTTGTTTTGCTTTGCTTTGTTTTTAATCTTCTTATGTCTGGACTTATGGATCAATAGAAAAGAGTGTAGAATGGGCACTGGCCTAGGACTCAGAGGCCACAAATTCCAGCCTCAGCTCTGATGGCCTGGGACCTGGGCCAGTGTCCCATTTGGCTGAACCTTGTGTTTTCAAGTATAAAGTACAGAGAAGAAGCCTCCATCAGGGAGGGCTTTTGCGAGCATAATCAGGGTAGGAAGACCAGAAGAAAGCCGCATGTTTGGAGGAAGGAAGCAGCGCTCTGAGAGTACCTGAGGTGGCCCCGGGAACTTGTCGCAGGTGGAGATCCTTCTCAGAGGACCCTGTCAGCCATAGCTTTGAGGGTTCATCTCAGAGCTGCCCCAAGCATGGGTTACTCGGGGTCATTTCTGTTTATTTCAGAGATCAGTGTAGGCCTCTCCCCTAAAGATCATGCTGTTCAAAATGTGCTTTGTGGTTCCTCGGCAGGGGCACAACCTAGGGCTGCTTTACACTCTCAGACCTCACTGCACACACCAGATGGAACTCTCTGTTTTAGACTCTTTCTTCCTTTCTTTGGTGGTGCTGAGGATGGGGTTTGGGACCTTACTGATGCTAGGGAAGCAACCTCCCATAGTGCTAACCACCAGCCCAGAATCTGCATTCTAAGATTTCCAGTTCAAGTACCATTGTGAGAGGTGCTGGCCTAGAGCAGGAAATGCTCAGAGCCTGGGGTCCTGGACAGTCTTGTCTACTCAGAAGAAGCAAGTGTTGCTAGGTTTCAGTCAGCTTGCTGGGCTCAGAGTACAGTCCTCCGCTCACTTCCTGTGGAAATGAGTTTTCTTAAGCTCCAAGCCTTGGCTTACTCCATTAGCGTGGAGTCTGATGGGTGCTCAGGCCTGCGAGTGGCAGGAGCCAGTAGCCTGAGGCATTGGGTTTCACATGACTTGGGGTGTCCCAGGCTGCTTATTCTGCTGCTTGTCATTGTCACCGGGACAACTTCTGAATTCAGTTTGGCAAAGGGAAGGTCAGAATGGAATGCTCCGGTTTAGTGCAAAGCTGATTCTAACTACTTGAAAGGAAGTGGCAGGACTCTGTCTCGTGCTCCTGTCCTGCTTTCAGTGTGTTGGCGGCATTTCTAGGTAGGATCTCTCCTTGGGATGGCAGGGCGATAGCCACCAGGGGTGACTGTCCTGGGAGAGGCAAATCAGCCTGGTAATTAAGCTGTGATTTTAAAAAGTGCTGGGCGAGTCTTTGTGATGTGTGATGGCAATCCCAGCACTAGGCAGGTGGAAGCTGGAGGAAGGGGCGGGGGTTTAAGGCAGAGGGTTCAGGGACAGGCCTAGGCCACGTGAAACTCTGCCTTAAAGAAAATCAGTAACTTCTCAGCCGGCTGGGGCAGCTCATGCTTTTAATTTCAGCACTTGGGAGGCAGAGGCTGTGACCTAATCTACATTGGCAAACTCCAAGCTAACCAGGGCTATTCGGTGAGACACTGTCTTAAAAAAAAAATTTTTTTTAAAGCCCTCTAACAAAGACTACAAGTCCCAGAATTGATTTTAATTGGTCCTAGTGACCATCCTCTAACCAATCAAGGCCACGGTCTTCTCACTGGCGGCAGTTCCTGCATTAAGAGTCCCAAACAAAGGATGCCCCTGACAATTCAGCACGGGTTCATGACTCTTTAAATCAGGGACGTGGCGTCTCCCGTGTTCCCAGCGTGGTTTCACTATGACCCTTCTTTTCTTTGCAGTTCAGAAGTAACCTCGGAGCTGTTTCTAGCGGAGGCAGATGCCAGCCAGCTGGAGAGCTCCGAACCCACACATCCCCACACATTACTGAAGATAGGATGGTGGCTGCTAAGCACCCACCTGTTCCCAAGCTCCAAAAGCACAACCTTGGGGGGAGACCTCCACATCACTCCACTGTCAGCCCGAGGCAGGAGGGAAGGAGAATCTGGAATGAAGTTGGCTGTGAACTCAACCTCACAATCACATCACCTCAGTTCTTGGGCTTGTTTCTCATCCCACAGTTCCTGGACTTCCACGTAGCTTAAACTGCCAGAGTGGGAAGAAAACCGGCCCCACAGCCAAGAAAGAGGCACCGCGCCTCTGGGTGTCTGTGGACATGAGCGCATCCGGGCCGCTGTCTTTTTTATTTTTCTTGAGGGGGACCAAACAGACAGCTTGCATGCTTTGTGTCGAGCATGCGCTGTGATCCCAGCCAGAGCCCATGGTGAGACTGTCACTCAGCATGGGCCCTGAATACCCACCCACCGGCAGAGGCAAGACCCATACGGAAGTTCCCCACCGGATAGGGACAGCACAACACAGCTGATGCTCTTACTGAACCGCCGCCTAGAGGCTTCTCTACCAGGGGCTCTGTTTCCGGAGTGCCTTGCAGAACCATGGAGTCTGCCTCTTGCTTCCCTCCTGGGCTGTACCCTTGGGGCATCAACCTGGAAGTCCTAGAACTTGATTTGGCCCAGGTCAGCCATTGAGGAGGGACAGAGCCTCGCTCTCTCCTGCCTCTGACTCTTTGGAGGTCTGAGATCCCACCTTGGTAACCCAAGCAAGTGGCTCAGGGACTATACGGGGCATTCAGGGCATCCTGCCCAGAAAAGCTGAGGTGGACCCTGCCTTCAGGCTGTTAGCCCAGCTCTAACAGATGCTCTGTGCCTGGTCCTGTGTCCCTGGCCGTCCTCAGCAACAAAGACTTTCCCTAGAGGTAACTTTGAGGCTTCTGCTGGACTATTCTGTTCACAGGCTCTGGGGAGTCTTTGCTGTGATTGGCAAGGGAGTGGGCTATATATAGCATTCTTAGGAAGGCTTGTTATTTCTTGATCTGGAGTCCCAGGAGTCTAGAAGGAAAGCCACAGCTGGAGGGTCAGTCAGGAGAGTGGGGGCTGGGGCAGGAAGCAGAGGCCACAGCCGCTTGTCTTAGGACCTAGCAGAGCATGGGAAAGGAGCCGAACAGAGCCCTCTGCCAACCAGCCTCGTGCTTTTTGCTTCTGTGCTTCCCCAGTTTTCTGCCCAGCACAGGCTGTGCCCCCAGGGGCTTCACCTTCTGGCTTTGCCTGCTCTGAGCGCCCCTTCCCAATTCACCACATTCAGCTCAGACCTGGGAGAGAGGAATGGTCCAGGCAGGGTCACTGGCTTCAACGGCCGGGGGGGGGGGGGGGGCGGCAGGTCCAAAGCCACAGCCACACTGGCTGGGGACTGGAAGTTCATTCCCTGGGCCCTGATATCTCCTCCCCTCCTCCCAAGGGCCCCTGGCCTACAGTCTCAGAGACCCCAGGAGGGCAGGTTAGCACAGAGCACTGTGGAGGAAGCTCTGGGGTTCCCAGACAAGGTCAGAGTGGCTGCTGGGAGGGCTGAGGGGCTTGGGGTGTCTCTTTGGGGCTGGTGCCCCTAAATCAGGCCCCCGTTGGGGAAGTAAACCTGGACTTACGTTCCTAAAGCAGGGACTGGCTGCACACCCTTCACCGGACCTTTTGCTATGGGAAGTAAGTGTGCGAGCCAAGAGCACATGTGTGACTTGAGAGGTTGGGTCAGGGGAGTGTGCTGTCTATAAACCAGCCTGTCATAGGCTCCTGATCCTGAGTGGGTGGGCTCCTAAAGCCCCCCTCCCCCAGGGTCCAGCTCCAGTACCCTTAAGAAGGAAAGGAAATATACTGTCTAGGAATTGTCCCGAGGGGGAGAGGAGGCAGAGGCGGCTCTCTCTGTGGCTTTCACGTCACCGGAGTCCAGCTCACACCACCGTCCCCTCCCATCCCTGAGTCACAGGTACACACTAAGCCTGCCATTCACAGCCTCACGCATGCACACGCTGATTCACACTCAGCCTGGAACAGGTGGACTCTCTGCAGCAGGGAAGGGCTTAGCTGGATCAGTCTTCCATTCAGGCAAGAGCAACCTGCAAGCCTTCCCGTGGTTCCAGGGACACAGCCTATAGGTCCCCGGGGTGCCCCCTGGGTAGAGAGGAGCACGGAACAGGAGGAGAGAGACGATGGGATGGGAGAAGTTTGAGTGCGGGTCCACCTCCCCCCAGCTCCCACTGAAGGATGAACAGGGGCCCTGCAGGCCTGACTCTGTTTTGGATCACTGCCAGCTGCATGAACACAGTGGCTGAGGGCACCGATCCCGCCTCTTTTTGAGCAGCCTGGCAAACAGGGAGAACTTCCCCTCCTCACCACATGCTCCAGCGACCCTGTATTTCTTGGCATGGAAAGAAATAAAGCTGAACATATGTGTTCCCTGAGTGTGCACCGCTGAGGTTGGGGGGTTCCAAACACCCCTACAGGAGCCGTCTACTCAGCCGATCAGTCCCTGGATTTGGCTTTGGGCTTAGGGATCTTGAGGTCATTGGGACTCCACAGACAATTCAAAGCATTTCGGTGGGCAAGTCACCATTCTCTCTCGGGCCTCAGTTTTACACACTATAAAGCAGGTGGGCAATGGCTGGTCCCATCTTCTCTGTCTTGTTTGTGTGTGCCTGCAGATGTGTGTGCCTGCCTGTGGGGGTCAGAGGTCAACCTCAACTGCTGTTCCTCAGGAACCATCTATCTGTGTCTGAGACAAGGTCTCTCACCGGGACCTGGGCTGACTGGCCGGCCAGCCCCAGGGATTCATCTGTCTCTCTGTCTCAGCGCTGAGACTGTGTGTACCACATCTGGATTTTTATGTCAGGTGTTGGGGACAGAACTCAGCTTTTGTATGACAAGCACTTTACCAACTGAGCCGGCTTCTGCCCTTTTTGCTCATGGACCATGCTCTTGAGCTGAAGAAAAGAAGGCAGGAAACCAGCTCTTGTTCCAGGCAAATCCGCACAGCAGCCCTGTGGGGTAGCTAGTGTCACTGTCCTGTACACACATTGGTAAACTGAGGGTCAGAACGATTCTGGGTCTTATCTGAAGTTGCACTATGATTGACACACAGAAGATACCAAATATATTTTGGTGACATGACACCACTCTCAGTGTCTTGCTGGCCCACTCTGCTGGCCCAGAGGAAAAGCCCAACATGGATGGTTTGAGGGGGGAGGGGCTGCTTTCCAGCTGCTGTGAGCCACAAACAGGAGCTGCCTTCCTGAGGTGGGATTCTGGGAGAGCACAGGCAGAGCCACCAGGCTAGACATGGAAGGAAGTGCTGTCAGCACAGAAACGGGGAGGGGAAGGGTCTCAGGACTCAAGAGCAGCAGAACCAAGGGACTCAGGGCAAGGTGCTGGACTCAAATCTCAGCTGGCTACTTACTGGTTGAGCCCCTCCCCTGCCCTTGGGGAAGTTCCTGACCTCTGACCTAACCCAAACTGAAGTGTGAGCAGTCAGAGAAGTAACCCGCGTCAAGATGAGCACACCACCTTCACCAACAGCTCAGATCTGCCCATCGTGCAAGAGCTGCAGCTGCACATGGGCCAGACCCACAAGGCCGAAGGCTCAGTCCAGCTTCTCTCCCCTGCCGTGGGAGCTGTGCTCGCCGTGCTCGCCCACCGCTGGGCCTGGAGGCCCTGCTCCCTCCTGCTGCAGAAAAAATAAGTGCCTCTTCAACCTGCTCTATACACACGTGTGGGAGAGTTAACCAACGACACCCCTAAAATAGGTCTGTGAGCACAGACCTGGAATCCCAGCTACCTGGGAAGCTGAAGCAGGAGAGACGACTCAGTGGTTAAGAGCACTGTCTGCTCTTCCAGAGGGCCCGAGTTCAATTCCCAGAAAACATAGGGCGGCTCACAATCATCTATAATGTGATCTCATGCCTTCTTCTGGCCTGCAGGTGTGCATGTAGAGAGAGAACTAATATACATAAAATAAATACATAGTAAAAAAACAAAAGTTCAGGATTGTTGGAAATTTAGTGAGATTCTCATCTCAAAATAAAAAGTAAGGCTGAGGATGCAGTTGAGTGTTAGAGCATTTGCCTAGCATATGTCACGCCGTGGGTTCAATCCCTGGTCTGTCTCTGTCTCTCTGTCTCGGTGCTCTGTCTCTCTCACACACGCCCGCACTCCCTGCCTTTAAGTGCCCTAGTCACACCTCGTCCCTTGGTGTCTGCCTCCTGTGGGAGAGGTAGGGCGGCACGCGGCTAGCAGTTAGCTCTCCTTCCGTCTCATTGCATCCCTCTATGCCACACTGGGCTCCCACCCATGCAACACGCACCCTCCTATTTGCAGACATGAACAGGTGAAGCCAGACCCGGGAGACGAAGACACACAGTCTCAGAGCAGGAGGGAGTCCCAGCGTCTTCCCAGAAGGAGCAGGCAGGATGGTTTCCTTGAGGGGCTCCTCCTCCTCTCCCATCACAGACTTGCGTCACAGCTCTGCCGTGTGACAGGTGCTGCACTGGGCCCTGGAGGCACAAAGGAAACAGGCTCCCTGATAGTGTGACCTTTATCTGAAGGGAAGCCATCAGGAGAGTGACCCCGTCAGGAGCGTCCCCCGGTATCTGAGGACAGGCAGTCCTTTCCCTGTCTTGTTGAGTGATGAGTTTCACAATTCTTCTTGAGACTGGCCGTTTGGGTAAGATGCCATGGGTCCTTGGGGGTCAGGCTCTGGAGGTCTGACTCAGGCACCCTGGCTCGGGCTCCAGATGGCTGCTGCCCGATGGTTACAGTGTGGGCCCCTGCTCTTATGTTAGCCCTAATGATAGTGCCCTTGTAAGTGCCCCTTCACCCTAGTGTCGCTGCTGGCATCACCCTGATGGTATTTCTTTTTACTGTGAGCCTCAGTCTAGCAGTGGTGAGGCTAACGCTGTCTATAGGCTGGGCG